AGCCTCCAAACACTGCGGAGAGCCTGGCATGAAGACTCGCCCTGAGTTTGAGTTTTGGCTTTCACACGAACCCGCGTCCTGGCCTGTCCAGGCCTCAGGCCCACGATCTCTTTAGAGGGAATGACGGTAGTGGTGCTTGCCCGTGCCCGGTGCTGCGGAGCCGTTCCCGGGCCACAGGGGATGGTGACTGGGAGTGGCAGGGTCGTGCTGCTGCTGCTGCTGTCACTGTGGTATTGGGTGGCGGGCCTGGATCGCAGGGTGCACTCCAGGTGGCTGCGTTGCCATGAGGGACGGTACCTTCCATCTTAGTAGCCCTGTTGCCCTCTGCAAACTCCTGTGGTGCCTTTGTGGGGCGGAGCAGTGGGAGGTGGGGGGTGAGCCCTGATGGGAGTGACCGCCTTTCAGAGAAGCGGGTCAGTCATTCTCTGCCAGCGAGGCCGAGTTTGGTGACAGCTTAGAGCAGATCAGGGTCGTGAAATGGGCACCGAGGTATGTGACCAACCCTGCTGCTTCGGTCTTTGCCCTGACCTCTATGTCCCTCTAGCCCTGCTGACTTTGCTTCCTCCACCTTTCCCCAGAGCAAAAGGGGAACCCGAGCAGTGTTTGCGTGGAGACCAGCAACCTCGCACGCAGCCGGCAGCAGAGGGTGATCTTGCCGGTGCACTACCCCGGCCGCGTGCACAGGACCAACGCCATCCCAGCCTACCCCACGAGGACGAGCATGGACTCCCACGGGAACCCCGTCACCCTGCTGACCATGGACCGGCACGGGGAGCAGAGCCTCTACTCACCACAGACCCCCGCCTACATCCGAGGCTACCCACCCCTCCACCAGGACCACACCCTGGCCCCTCACCGCTGTGGCCTGGAGCACCGAGCCTACTCACCGGCCCACCCCTTCCGCAGGCCCAAGTTCAGCGGCCGCAGCTTCTCCAAGGCAGCTTGCTTCTCCCAGTATGAGACCATGTACCAACACTACTACTTCCAGGGCCTCAGCTACCCCGAGCAGGAGGGCCAGGCCCCACCCAGCCTCCTTCCCAGGGGCCCGGCCCGTGCCTTCCCCCCGAGTGGCAGCGGCAGCCTGCTCTTCCCCACCGTGGTGCACATGGCCGCGCCCTCCCACCTGGAGAGCGGCAGCACGTCCAGCTTCAGCTGCTACCACGGCCACCGCTCCGTGTGCAGTGGCTACCTGGCCGACTGCCCCGGCAGCGACAGCAGCAGCAGCAGCTCCGGCCAGTGCCACTGCTCCTCCAGCGACTCGGTGGTGGACTGCACTGAGGTCAGCAATCAGGGCGTGTACGGGAGCTGCTCCACCTTCCGCAGCTCTCTCAGCAGCGACTATGACCCCTTCATCTATCGCAGCCGGAGCCCCTGTCGCGCCA